TCATAGATATTTTCTGTTTTTTTTAGTTCTTCATAAATATAGGGGTTGTAGTGAGTATTATGGTTGTTCTTCTTTGTGTTTTGTTTTGTTCTGACTTCAGAAACTGATCTGTCACTCTCTGTATCAATCGCTCATGATGATTGCAGGATGCTATTGATTTGAACATTGTTAGGGTTATCTATGCAGAGTGAATGTTCCGTTCTTCATTCAGTATTCCAGTCACGCAAAGTGCGATTAATGTAATACCATTAATAATGAATTAAATAAATATTCAGAATACCCTTTAATTGTTACTATGAAAACAATAACAATAATTCATTTACCCAAATTGGTGCCGTTCGGTAAAAACACTCAAATTTGCATTTATTAAATCGCAACAATGATAGAGATTTTTAATTTTTTTTAATCTGCTTTACCAAACGAATCCATTAAAAAAAATTTTGATTTACAATGGCTATAAAAACAAAAGTACAAAAGCGGCTTTAATATTTATAATGTAATGGAATGTAATTGCTTACTATGCCTTTGTATAAGAGAAATGAAAGAATATCGACACGAATTGTTTAACGTGTTTATTATTAAAAGTAATTTTGTCGGAGAAGTTAATCATACGAAAATTAAGACTTACAGAGATACTGAAAAAATTTTGTCCCAAGCTCCCCTATATCCATCTACCTTACCCACCAATTGTTTTCTGGATTGATATAAAGTTTATTCAAGTTTTACGTGTACAATTTTGTGCTATTTGTATAAAATGCTCCTTTTGTGTTCGCTGCCCGAAGACAGTGTCGAAAAGGCAACCCGAGGCCTCCAGATCTTGAAGCAAAATATCCGTGTGTAGGTTTGTAGTACATGACAGCTTCCCATTTTTTCTTAGTGTTGATAGATTTCGTATTGTTTGGATATAGGTGAAAATTATTAATAAAATTCAAATTTAGGCTTTTTTTCACTTGTTTATTGAGTAATACAATTTTGAAATTGGTTGGTATTAATTGTTATTGTCAATCGAGGTCGTTGCCTGTATGTACAAAACTATTATTTTTGTAACTCCATACGATATCGATAATTTACTTGCAGTTTGATTAAACACGAGTTGACACGCTGAAATTTTTGCTGCTATCCATCCTCGTATTACCGAAAATACCGAATTTGTGTAAGTGATCTTTTGTAGTTTTGTAGATAGTAAGAATAAACAATTCATTTTTAAATCAAAACCCTTATAAATTCACCAGAAGTATGGAATATTCTAACCGAAAGTGTATAGTTCACTTTGATCAAAACTAATTACCCTAAAAATTGATGGCGAAGTACATTTACGTGGATAAATCTTGGAAGGACTTTGATTGGATGGCATTTTACCCTATTTTTAGCGTATTTTTCATGAAAAATACCAGGCCATTGGCCTCTTTAATTAGTAATAATAAACACCTCACCTAAAGCAAGTACTTATTACTTCCGCCAGTGTGGTACCCGAATTTTCAACAAATGTATTTTTGCGTTGTAAATTATAAATATAAGTTATAAGGCATAAATGAACAGTGAATAGAGAAAGGACAAGCTACTTTTTACTTATTAAACTGAAGGTTTCATGTCAAGTTTTTCGGCTTATAAATTGTTTAGCAGTTCTTCAAATCCAATTTGTGATAAATATCATATAATTAATTAAAAATGCCAATTTTGCAACATAATTTCCTTTGAATATTTTCACCAGTTGCGAATTGACATTTTCATATATTTGGGTATATATTTTCGAAGCCTTATTTGTGGATATGTGCAGAAAAGTAGATCACAGTATAAAAAATTTCAACAATTAGTCGGTAAATCATAGTTTTTGTTGACATTGAGTTATTTAGAGCCCCGTTTGAAACGCATTTACTGTAAAAATAGCAGCAAACAAACAGTTCCACAACAGTAAAGTTTTTGGAAGAGCAATTTATCAAATAATGGAAATCGGCAAAACTGATTCGATTAATGTAGTATTCCCAGTACAACGAGAAGATAAAGTTGGATTTGTATGTGTCACGTGATCGGCTTCTATTAACTAATCAGCTTTGTTTTTAATTTCTTATACCAAGCTTTTTCACATAAAGCGAATGTGACGTTTGTCCCACATTGAATAAGAAGCCAATATCGAATGCGAGAGCGTCTAAGTTTCAATTTTAAGTTGAGAGGTTGAATTTATATCGTAAAGTAGAGCAAATGGCAAGCAAGAACTTAACGATTTTGGCTGGCTGATTTTCGTACTTCAAATAAAACATTATGAAATACCCACCGACATCCTTTTTCTGGCTGTGTCGCTTCCGATACTGTGACTGAGCATTCAGAAAGCCAGAAAATAGTCAATATACCATTCGAATCGCTGTACATTCTCGCAGCGATCAAATACTCGGTGTTCATTTGGATGCTCGTCTTTGTCGTCACGGAAACACTTCCTTTTCCTACTTTTTAATGTTTCGATTATAATTGTTTTCTGTGTGCGAACGGTGTTTAGAGCAAACTTGCATCCGATGATAATGATACCAGTTATGCAGTTACATTTTTCCCTGCCGTTATTTTGCAATTTTATACCCCAGTAATAAAAGGTTATTCTTTTATTCATAAGGGATTGATCTAACTAAACTGCGTCTTAATTAGCCGATGTAGTCCCTTGACGAACAAGGGATAGAGCGAAGCGCGTACGGTCGAGTAGAAATCCAATACAAAGGACGTTTGTGTTTGTCGTTATGAATAATCCAATACTGACAAATTAGGTAATATCAAATTTCCATAATTTACATTCTACGCTGCCACAAATAATTTAATCATACAAACTTTTCTCATTACAATGACTTAATCTTGTCTCAGGTTGTGCAATTGTTTACGGTGCTTATAGTCTCTAGTTGGGTAGATTGTTGCTTTTATGGAACGTACAAGATTGCATCCGAATCTTCACTGGAAATGTAAACTGAGTACTTATTTTATTGCCAGTAGACTGCGCTATTACTATAAGTTCTTGGTAACTTACGCTCGGCGTGCAAGGGCTCGCTGTTTGAAAATTCAGATGGCGAAGGTGAAAAAAAGTTCGGCTAGGGGCTTTGCTTTCGGCAAAAAGCAATGTGACGCCAATGAGGCAAGTAAGGGACTTCCATCTTTATATGAACCAAAAGTACAGTTTTGATGGCTTCAAAGTTCAATTAATGAATTTGCCAATAATTAGCGAGGGAAACTTTGGGTATGAAACCTTGGAGCTTTTAGTTATTGGCGTATATTTTATAATCAAAGGTTATTAGTTTCGGACAGTTTCAATTTATCTAATATAACTAAAACTGAAACGTTACCGTATTCCCCGTTTCATAAAACTGCTGGGGAAATGAAATTTCCGGCACGAGTAAAACATGCCTTAATCCTTAGTAAGTATTTTCTAAGAAGAGGTTTGTATAAAACTCCATTTCTTTTGCCGACTTTAGGTCACACATTGATTTGATGTACTTCGTTTTTAGACAAATGGGCTGGTCATGTTTAATTTTAAAATGGCTAATGGTTAAATTCGAAGTGACTTACACAAACAAGTTTAATAAGGTGTATACTGATTATGTAATGTCGTTTACTTATCGTGAATTCAGATGTTTTTCTTTATTCGCCATTTCAGTTCTCTGAGTGCGGTTGAATTGTGGGGACGTATTTACGCCTGTTATCAATCAAGGTTATACTTACGTTTTCGGTAATACCTACATATCATTATTCTACGTAGTCGACTCTTTTATAACATAGACAACAACCGCTACCTCCGCGTCGATAAGGGGGCGGAAAGAAAATAATCGAAATGCCCACAAAAAGAACATCTTCACAACTGTCCCCACTAATCAACGATTGGGGCCCTGAAACGATCATCCATAAAGACAGGTATTCTGCGCTCTCCGATGATGATCCTGCAGACGACACCAACATCCCAAACATCCGACACCAGCAGGGGTAAGTCGCCAAAAATTCTTCTATATCTAAAAGGTCAGTACAATCACAATAGCTATAGTTAGTGGTTTAAAAACGTTGACTAGGGATAATTTGACATCATATTGCCCGAATTCGTTAAAAATTAATTTATTGCGCATAGACTATTATGCATAATGAAATATCGTTTTACACGTTCCATAATCCAAATGATTGAAAATGTGCCCCTTCGTTAACGGAAGACGATCTCAAACCAGAATTGTTCTTCTTCAACTGTCCAATCATAAAAATAACACGTTTATTGTACAAAGACGAAATATCAATGCTAGTTTGTGCGGTGGACTTCTGAAGAGGCAAAAACGTGTTTAAAATCAAACATATCCATTCGTGCTACATTGCCATTGAAGCGTGAAGGAAACCCAACAAAACCCCCCAAAGCCACTGCTGCCAACAATTATGACACACGCCGGTCTACGCAAACTGTGTTGTTCATACCTACAAAACTTTGATAAAACTCGATCTGCGCTGCACAGAGCACATTCCATTTCTTGATTATCATACTTTCGCTGTCAAAATACATGCATCTCTTTCATCTGTCAAAACTATTAATGCAGGAGTACCACAGGGTAGCATTTTGGGCCCTACGTTATTTAATATATACACATATGATGTACCTAACCTAACTGGCTGACTTAGCAGATAATACAGTTTTACTAGTCTAACGCATATAGATGTGTACGCTTCTATCGAGAAATTCCAAGACGCAATACACACAATGGACAAATGGTTTTAAAAAAACGGGAATATCACATAAACTGTTATAAATGCGAAGCAAAAACTTTTATAATAACACGAATCGTGCCACTAGGGAACCACTCTATCAGAATAAACTCTTAATAAAATATCGTGGTCACCTAAAGACGAGTGTGTAAAATACCTAGGAGTACACCTCGAAACAATACTTACGTGGAAATTTCACATACATAAAAAACTAATTGAGAACAAATTAGACTCGGGAAATTATACCTGCTCCTAAATCGAAAATCCTCTCTTAAGATAGCGTGCGCAATGTTGATATACAAGTCGTTAATTCGACCACAAACAGTTTAAGCGTGTCAAGTTTGGGGAAACGCGACAAATAGCAGCATAAATAAAACCCGACGATTTCAAAACAAGATACTAAGGATTGCCACTAACGCGCCATGGTTTGTGAGAAATTGTGATGTTCACTCGTTAAGGTCTTTATAAAAAAAGTTAGCAAGAAGTTCCATACCAACCCAACCTTATGTTCCCCAGTGTACCCTTTTACTCTCTCGGAAAGAAAAATATTCACAAAAGACTTACATCGAAAGTTGCCGCAGGACCTGTGAAAGTGTTAGGATTTATCGCTAACATATACAGCTGCAGTTGTTGATCTGGTATGCACAAATTAAAAAAATCATTGATTCCTTAGATGAATTGTATAAAGTCATATATTCTCTTGAATATAACAAATCCATAGCAAATGAATTAGATAATCGTGGAATACAATGGAAATTGATACCTACTACAGCTCTTCACATGGGAGCGTTGTGGGAAGTAGGCGTAAGATCTGTGAAAAACCATTTATACAAGATCTTACGCGGCCAATTAACTTGTGAAGAGTTTAACACCTTGTTTATACAAATTGAGTGCATACTAAATTCACGATCCCCTCTGGTCCGGCCGATCCACTCTATTTGACGCGTGTCCATTGCTTAACCATGTGTCCCATAAACCATTTTCCCGCCGCAGATTACAATAATCATAATGTTAGCAATAGAATTAAGATTTCAATTAATTGATCTATGACTTTTGGAAGAGGTGGTGGTTGGAATGCCTCACTGGGCTGCAAACCCGATGTCGCTGGAACACTGACACGAATCCTGTTCAAATAGGGACTGTTGTCCTATTAAATCAGTTTTGATGGCATTCTGAAGTGCGAAACCGTACTTCATCCCGGGGGGAATGTTACGGCTGTCTTATTTTTCACTTAGGGTATTATTTCAGTTACATGAAGTAACTGTGGCGCTTCTTTAATTTTGATACTTTAAACGAAAAGTGTAGGATTCGGTAAAACGGACGAAAGAACGCAATCTGAAATCTAGAAGGAAAGGGTTTTTCCAGGTTGATCGCGGACAAGTCATTTTTGGACCGAATTTATAACAACGTGTACGTAACCTACCTATAAATAATTTACCAAAAATAGACGAACCGGAAAAAAACCTTTTTCCTTACAGACTTTGGTCTCTAGAATCCAAAACCACCACAATTATCAAATTTGAACCACTACATCAATAGTTATACCTCTCTTTCTTCTTCTTTTAGAAGTCGGTTTTTGCACAGAACCTTTGATGTAGTCGTCCATTCTTGACTATTCTGGTAATTTTGGATTTTACAGCCGAAATTCATAAGCAAAAGTTTTTTTCCTGGCAATATGTGGACAACTGATTTTTTCGATGGGTTTCTAAAAGCCAAAATTTATAAGAAACCCCTTTCCGATCGATCTAAAATTCAAAAGAATGACTTTTCCGAATCGACCGGGAATGATTATCATTATCATTTTATCAACATCATATCAACATATTGGTGTCGTAACTCGTAAGCACTCCAATCCAAGGATATTCATATCAGGTTTGGTTTCTATAAAACTGTAAAGTTTTCTAATTTTTAAGATTGGACCACTGCATCAAAAGTTATATTTCTTTTTTATTGGAAATCAGTTTATTGTACATAAAATGTTGATTCCAAGGCCCGAAATCTATAAGGAATTTTTTTCCCGGTCGATTTCGAACAAGTCACCTTTTTGACCAAACATATGGACTTGTAAACTTTTTCTTATAGATTTTGGCTTGTAGAATCCAGAACTACCAGACTTTTCAAGATTGGACCACTAGATATATCAAAGGTGACATCATTTTTTTTGGAAATCAGTTTCTTGCCCACACCCATTGATCTAGTAGTCCAATCTCGACAATTTAGGACTTTTGGGGTCCTAAAGCCCAAAATCTATAACAAAAAATCCCTTTCCGTTCGATCTAAAATTTGTTGATCTTTGTGCGTAATCACTCCTACCTTCCCACACGTACTAAAGACATGGAAAGAGTGCTTAATTATTAGGAAATGCGATTTCTGTGGGGGGAAAAAACGAAAAGTGTTCTTTAACACAATTCTGGACGACAACGAGAATCACCACGGAAAAGAGGATAAAGAAGGAGGCGTGGAATCAGATTATGACTGCCCTGAGGACGCCGCGCGAATTCGTGTGCGGTTTTGGTGATGCCGTTGTTTGAAATCCTTTCGTTTTCGTTGTTTTCTGTTGTTTTTTTAGAGGACCGGTTTTCTCTGATTTTGGAATGCAAATCATTTTTTATTTTGATGTAGTGCAAGGCTTTTTGAAGTTGTTTTTTTTGCAATAAAAACGTTTACACATTATACATTCGGGTATTGTGGCCATTATAAAGCGTAGGAACATAAACCAGATAAATCTGGTCATTTGTTATGAACACAGTGTTTTGATTAAAATTCATTTCTCTTTTAGTAACGAAGGATGAATTATTTTTCATATTTTGCGAAATAAAATTTTGTAATGAAAGTTAACAAAAACTTATATTATTATGGGGCTCGATTTGCTAAACAAAATTCAAGGATTAACATATTACGTTGTTTGGGATTCCCGATTCTTCTACGTTGCTTTCAAAAGTTAAAATATTTAATTGCCGCAAGCTAATTTGATTTTCAGTTAAAATCGTTTGCCCTACGTGTTAGGTGTTTCAAATAAAAGTGTTGCAAGATAATTTGATTTGCAACGAACAACCCTTCTTTTTGACATGGGTATGTTATGTACTTACCTAAAACCTGTAATTTGACTTGAAACAAACATATAAATTATAAACTAAATCACGAGCAAATTATTATACGACCGATCAAAAAATTTGCATTCTAAATAAGTGGATTTACCTAAAGCATTTATATACAAGAACCATGCATAATTGCATACCTATACTAGGATGTGAACTGCGTCAATAATGACCAAAAGCGTAAATTATGGAAAAATAAATTTACAGCTATTTGACTTTGGGGTTGTTTTCTTTGCTCCTCTTTCATTTATAATAATAAATACCTTTTAAAATTTGCATATGATTTCAGTTGCTGATTAGCCTCAGGTCAGTCCTAGCAACTGAAGCATGGAAACGTACTGTTTATGGTAACAACCCTTCGTATTTACTTACCGATAATTGTCGAATTAACATAGCTTTTACCTAACGTTTAATAAAAATAGCTACGCGATATTGTAGAATAAATACAATAGAAAAGCGTGACACAAGTTAGGTTATGCAAAATTTTAATTCGAACTCCCAAAACTTAATTAGTTTCTCATGTAACAATGTAATTAAATACTCATGTTCATGCAAGACATAAGTAGCGCGATAGCCGTACAAGTAAATTAAGCGCAACTTCTCGGTTTTACTCTGCTTTTGCACCAACAGACCCATCCCTGAAATGAAACGCAGAATTATTACAATTACAAAAAAGGCAACTTTAAATTTTAAAAAAGGACTACAATATGCACGCCTTCGCAATACTTTTTATCAATATATTTCCAAATGTCGTTATTATTCCGAAACAACGCAATTTCAATTTCAAAAACGTATTTTAGGCCCCTATCGTCCTTGCGTTTGGGATGAATTCTTATACACACGCTCACTCCTATTTTACCATTAAATTAGAATATCGTGTTCGATTTTATTACGTTTCCTTGTTTCCATTACATGTTCCTTGAGAGAAAAATATCAAACTGCGATATTTCTTTGTCAAATGAAAGGGTTCACTTTGTTGTATGTAATATTCACAAAACTTTCTCGTATTTGTTTCCCAAAAGAGATGATAATTTTATGCATAATATGTTACGATCATCAACGTGATTATTATGTAATGTAAATAATTGGAGAAAAAGAAAATTTTTGAAACAGCCCCCCGGATAAATTCTAGGAACAGTTTCCTTT